GGCAGGCGCGGCCCAGATGGCATCTGGAGGGGGCTCTGCTTCTGTCCCGCGCCCCCAGGGACGGTTTGCTGGGGCTCTAACGTCCGCCTCCCGCCTACGTACCGTGCTGCTGGTCGTCCCCGTGGTCACCGCCTGCTGGAAATGCGCGGCCAGCCCGGCTTTGTCTTTGCATTGCTCTTTGCACTCCAGGCACCTGAAGCAGCTGTAGTTGGTCTGCTCCGAGCTGTTGCTCAGCGGCAGGATGGGGAGGTCCTGAGCCCCGTTGGCCGCGGCCAAGGCGTCCTGAGCCACGCCGGCCACTTTGCTAGCGGGGAAGGAGGTCACCGAGACCAGGGGGGTGATGTCCGGCTGGCCGATCATCTGATCCAAAGCGATCGGCCTCATGACCAGGTGGGAGCACTGCATGACCAGGCCTTTGTCCTTGTGCTCCCGGGCGTGCAGGAGCAAACTGCACTTGTTGAAGAAGACGAGGCGCTTGGTGCAGTGGTTGCAGGTCACCTCGATGCGCATGCTTCGCCGGTCGTAGTGGCGAGCCAAGCTCTTCTCCAGGGCGAAGGAGTCCCCGCACTCCAGGCAGCGGTACCCGAAGGGGGGCAGGGTGAGGCTCGCGTCGGCCGGAGGATTCAGGTTGGGTTTGTACGTTGGCAAGAGGTTCTTACTGTTGAGGATCTTGTTAAAGGCTTCCACGAGGCTGGACTGGCTGCGGGAAATGACCGTCCCGGCGATGGTCGGGGAAGGCTTCTGCGGCTGCACCATCACCACTGTGGTGCCGTTGACTTTCTGGTTGGCCGTGGTGGTGATGGTGGTGGTCTGCGTCACGGTGCTGACGTTGGTCCTGGTGTCGGCCTTGGGCAGGGTCTGCGGCACCAGATTGATGATGTTCTTGGCCATGGCTTTACCCGTCTTTGCCGGCAGCACCACGGATTTTTGCTGAGCCACGCTGGCAGCGATCAGCATGGCGCTGCTGGCGTTCTGGATGGTGGAGACGGGCAGGACGGTCCCTTTGAGCTTGGTGCCGTTGCCAAGCTGAAGACTGACGATTTTTGGGCCCTCGATGGTTTTCAAGGGGCTGGAGAGCTCCATTTTCTCCTTGGAGACCTCCAGCGCGATCCCTTCGTCCTTCTCTGCCGATGCCGAGAAGCTGGCGCCCTCAAGAGAAGTCTCCTGAGAGCTCTGCTCGGCCGGTCCCCTGGTGGAGCCCGGCTCCGAGTCTGACGAGACCCTGGTCACCGTCCGGGTGATGCTGCCGCAAGACGTTTTGATGGTTTTAATCCGCACTTTCAGGGGCCGCGAGGAATTGGAAGAAGGGGAGTCGTTGTTGTTGTCTTCCTCCTCCTCCTCTTCCTCAGCGCTGGACATACTCTGTGGACTCCCCATCGACTTCTCCAGAACTTCTTGCTCCTCCTTGAGGGCGATGTTGTCCAGCTGCTTTGGAGAAGTGGGGAGCCTGGGGCTTTGCACCACCGGCGAGGAAGACTTGAAGAACGGCTCGCGGGGGCTGGCGGGCGAGCGTTTCACTTCGGGAAGGTTGCTGGCGCTGCTGTCGAGGTTTGGGTCAGAACCGGGCCAGGAGGCGATGGGAGAATCATCCGTGGAGTAGCGAACGGTGACCGATTTCAGGTGATCCAAGGGACTGTCCCCCAAGGCTGCAGCCAAACCCTTGGGGCTGGCTTCGCGGCCCACCTCCTCCGAGTCAGACTCCTCTTTTTTGATGCAGGGCATGGTAGGAGGGGACCCGTTTGCACCCCCCGCCTGGCTTCCTTCGAAGGACTGCGGGAAAGCCGGGGGCAGGCTCTCCGAGCTCTCTCCCATGGGCTCCTTGCAGTCCAGCGATGGGGTTGGGGACGGGGAGAGGGAGGGCACGGCGAGGGATTTCTCTTTGGGCTTACACTCCCGGGGTCTGTCAATCAGGTTGGTAGCGTTGTCTTCGTTGGGATCGGGACTAAAATGGGAGAAGATATCCAGGGGCTTGGGGCCTTTTTCCTTCACCCAACACTCCCCGTTGGAGGAGGCCACAGCTTCCACAGACCTGGAGGTGGGGGACCTGGGCATCTCGGTGGCCCCAAAGCCATTCTGCAGCAAGCGGGGTCCGATGACGTGCCCATCTTTGCCGCGCCCGTCCAGGGCATCGAGCTGCTCGGGGCAGACGGTGTTCTTCACGATCACGCTGACAGCGGTGATGTCCGTGTGGGGGAGGACGTGGTCAGGGGGTCCCGGCTCCCCCGGGACTTGCTTGATGTGAGCGTCAGCTTCCTCGTGGCCGGAATGGATGGCCTCGTTCGTGTCGATGTCAGGAATATCGAAAGCCGCCAGAAGGTCATCGAAATCTGGAGTTTTCATGTCACCCATGGTGGGGAATATGGCAGAGTCTGCAACAGAACAAGGAGAGGAGCGTTAGCGCCGTGACCCGAGCACGCGAACGGAGCCGTCAGAGACACGGATGGGAACTTGCTTCCCCTCAGCCCCACGCGAAGCACGAAATCCCCGTGCCGCCTTCCCGTTGAACCCCAGCCTCGAGCCCCTCGGGCAAATCGCAACACCTCTCGGCCTTTTTCGCTTCGCTTGTTGGCGTATCATTTCCTGATTCCCAGCCAGGAGAGCAGAAAATTCAGAAGGATCCCAGCGCCCCGGGAGAGACGTGAGGCGCCAGGGTGCAGCCTGGCCGGAGCAGCGCCCCGAGGCCGGAGCAACTCCCCGCGTACGTACAGGCTGAGGAAGGGCAGGGGGTCGGCGGGTCACAACGAATCGCGTCGGGCCCAGAAAGCTGCGGGAAGAGCGAACGCCTCGCGAGGGGAACGCGCCGTCAGGGGCACCCGGTGCGACGCAGGGACCGTCCTTCCCCCTCCTACGGCAGCAAGGCCCTCCGTCCCAAGGCCGGCCCCACGAGGCCGCAGCTCACGAGGGAGGCATCCAGACGGCAACAAGAAGACTCAGATAAGAGACCTCGAACACGTGGGCTGTAGAGCAAAGGATGAAGAAGCAGGGGAGGCTGAGGGGAGACATGGCAACAGGTTTCAAAACATGGCTGCGGCAGAGACAAAGGGAATAATGTTCCTCCTGTCGCTGCAGGCTGGGCAAGAAATCCCAGGATTAAGCTGCAGCCAGGGGATGCGGCTTAGACAGCAGGGAAGGCTCTGATTTATAAGGATAACCAGGCAAAGGAGGCAGGAGGTCGGGGGGCACCCCACGTGCTGGAGAGCAGCTGGACGCGTGTCCGTCCAGGGGAGCAGATCCACCCTGAGGGGACCGGGGGGGGTCTCGGGGATGGTCTCGGGGTGCGCTGCCCTCCGCCTTTCTGCTCTCAGCCTGGAGGGTGGATGGTTGCACCTAAGAGCAAGCAGGAAAAGCAAAAA